CACATCATCCATACATGGAGCCATCAGTTACAGCAAATGGAGAAATTTTGAATATTGTAGATAAGTTCACTTACCTTGGCAGTACACTTTCCAGGGATGTACACATAGATGATGAGGTTGACACATGCATTGTCAGAGCTTGGTCAGTGTTTGGGAGGCTCTGAAGGAAAGTGTGGGAGAGAAGAGGTATTAGGCTGCCTATCAAACTGAAGGTCTGTGGAGCTGTTGTGCTGACCTCATTGTAGTATGCCTGTGAAACCTGGACAGTATACCAGTGCCATGCCAGGAAACTGAATTGCTCCATTCCATTTGAATTGTCTTAGGAAGATTCTAAAGATCACCTGGCAAGATAAGGTACTGGGCACTGAAGTCCTTTCTCAAGCTGAACTGCCAAGCATTCAAACTCGTCTGCAGATATCACAACTCCAATGCACTGGCCACATTATTCAAATGCCAAATGTAAATTTACCTAAAACACTCACATAAGGCAAGTACTCACATTGAAGTCAGAAGAAGAGATAGAAGGACTTCTCAAGGCCCTTCTGACGAACTTTGGAATTGAATGTGAGACATGGGAGATATTGGCGTAGGCCTCCTCAGCATGGTGTGCCTGCTCTATGAGCAAAGTGAAATAGCAATAGTTCAAAAGAAACATGAGATACGCAAGTTTAGAGACATCTCCACTCCAAATGTTCATATGGACTATTTGTGCTTGACCAGTGATAGAGCCTTCCGACCTATTGGTTTGATTAGCCACAGTCAGACATACCGTACCTTGACCCCGACATAGTGATATCATTTTGGTCCTTTTAAGCAGGAAGGACAACCTTGAGGGCAAGGATTGTTTTTTTTTTGTCTTAGTGTTCCCATTGTCCAATACAGTGCCTCACATGCTGTAGATGCTTAAATTGTTTGTTGTATTATTATCATACTACCAGCTGTCTGACTTTTGGCAAGTCATTTAACTTCTATGAGAATCAATTTTCTCAACTGTAAATTGAGGGAAATAATCTTTGTGTTTCTTAATTAGTAGTGCTTTCTTGAGGAAAATGCTTTGCAGACCTAAGTAAGCTAAAGAATATGAGGTATTATTAAGAACCTCAGGTGCTTTTATACTTTTGCCTGTTCACATAGCTATCAATATGTTACATTTTCCTTTTTTTGCAGCTTAACTAGACCTTGAAGTTGGCTAATACTTGTAAATCTTTCCTTTGTAATAGGACTGGTCCCTGAGAGCCTGGGACCTTATCACAAAAAAGGGATCATTAAAAAGACCAGGTTAGGTGTGAATAAGTCCCTTGTTTGAGTCAGAAGGGAACAAAGTCATCACAAACACTAATTTGGAACATACTCATGTGACTTAAAAGACAAGATCAAGTCAGGCATTTTAGACAGGAGCACCCCACTCTTTGCCTCTTTTTGGAGAGGAGAATATTTAGTCTGCATGACACTAATAATCACTTCTAAGTCTAGTTTCTCGAGTTAAAAGTCAATCTTAAACAAATTCACAATTTTTCTTCCGGCTACACATAATAAATATTTACTCAACGTTTATTTTTTATCCATATCAGATTGGTCAATTAACTAATTCTATTGGTTAGACAATCATTTATTAATTTTAAACTAAAGTATTCTGCCTTCCTCAAAGTGTATTTTCCCCCCTTATCCTCTCTCTGGCCATTCACAATGGCATCTAGCAGCAGAACTACATGTCCAGAGGAGACAAGCTAGACCTCATCTATCATTTGGGGAGTCAGTTTGAGAGAGTTCAAAGTCCAGTTGATGGAGTAGACACTCTTCAGACAGAAACAGATATAGAAGGGTAGTCACTTGAGGGCAGAAGCAACTTTGGCAGCAGAGAAGAGAGACAATCTATGGATTCAAGAAAGAGGCAATTGAGAACTGAGCTACATAGAGGAGGAGTTCCTGGGAGCTCAGATGAGCATTTGAATCAGCAGAGACACTGTGTTCAAAGGGGGAGCTTTATGAGAAAATCAGGAGGAGAGAAATGACATCATAGTCCTACAGTTTTGGAGTTGGGAGTTGCTTTGGCTACATGTATTCCCTTATATATTTGCCTCACTATATCATACTCTAAATTTGTGCCCATTCTTCTCTTTGTAGAAGAGTGTGCCACAGGTTTGTGGAGATGTTTTGTAGCTCCTGTAATTACTATACCATCTTAGTCAATGCTTTTTCAAGAGCCAGTCTACTGGCTTGTTGTTAAGGAAAAGCACATTGGTGGGAGCTCACGAACTATATTGTTAAGGGCCTGGACCCAGAGTGTATCCTTGTATCCCAAGGTAGCAGTCACACTCTGGGGACTCACCCCACCAGTGTGAGTGCTAATTGGGGGAGTAACCCAGTGGGAGTGCTACATTAGGCTTCATGAGGGAGATATTTAGGTCTTCTGTACATTGGCAGGGACTGAATTGTGAGGTTCTCCATCTGAGACCCCTCGATTGCCATAGTAGTGTTGTGATGGATTAGAAAAAAATGAGCAAACTTTCTTCTTACCTTTTGTACTTTTTACCTTTTGGTGTGTTTCCTTTACATATCAGACCAGTTATTTTGAGATAACTTCTTAATGGTTTAATGTGTATGCACTGGCATTACTGTGCAGTACCACGAATATGGCAACTATTATGAACACTATGGATGTTGCATTCCTCAGAATACAGGTGACTAGCAATTTGCTTAGAGAAGACTTTGCAAACTAATTGATGTTCATTTAAAACAAAACAAAACAAACTTTTGACTAGATTTTGACTGCTTGCCTTAGTTTGCACCTGTTGCTAGGTGGCACAGTGGATAGGCCTCTGAACTTGGAGTTAGGAAAACCTGAGTTCAAATCCTGTTTCAGATACTTACTAGCTATGAAACCCTGGGCAAGTCACTTAACCTCTGACTGCTTCAATTTCTTCATTTGTAAAATGGGAATAATGATAGCTTCTACTTCCCAAAGTTGTTGTGAAGGTAAAACAAGATGATATATGTAAAATGCTTTGTAAACCTTAAAATACTATAAAATGTTAGTTTTTAACTAAAATTAAATTCCTGAGTAATCAACTCCAAGTTTTTAATCCCTTTTTGGGAGCCCTTCACATCTTTGGGGACTTTTCTGAGTTTGTTTTCCTTAATTTCTTGCCCTAGTGAGGGATGAGTTCATATTTCTAGTTGGATTTCTGATGTATTGCAGGAGACTTTGAAGATATTGGGGGTGTCCTGTGTATTGCAGGGACCCAGGGGAAATTTCATCTCCTAGGACTGAATCGGGTCTGCATATGTGAGTCCAGAACAAAGAGGTCCTTTAGTGGGAGAAGGGGAGGACAAGTTTCCCCCCTCCCTTCCTGCTTAGTCATTCTGTGTTATTATATAAGAACAAAGACAAAGCAATATGATTTCTTATGCCAGTAGACCTCATGTCCCTAATAACTAGGGGAGGGGCCTACATGTTTTTGAAGTTCTCTGTGAACCCGGCTTCCCTCTGAGGAGGAAGACAGACTTTCTTTTTCTTTATTGTCTTTGATTTGAGTGCCTTTGCAAGCACCAAGACATGTGGTAACATGAGAAATTTGTAAAATGGTGTTTGCTTGTTAAAATTAAGTGATCATTAATTTGGAAGTGAGTATTATCCTTAGGTCAAATGCTATGGTAGGCATATATCCTTGTGGAATAATGTTAAATTCCGGATTGTGAACTGTGCTCCATAGTCTTTGCCAAAATGCACCCCAGTTGCTTTTTTGAGAACAGAAAACATTTAACTAGAATGACAGTAAGGGAGTGGGTTCTTGAAAGCTCAGGACTTAATACAGAAGAGAGGTCGACAAGGAGATGTTAAACTGTTGTAAAAATGAGAAGATCCTGATGATAATACTGTTCAGCAGTATGAACTATGAACAAATCCTTTGAGTGAATCCTAATATTGATGTCATTGGACAAGCAATGATGGGGAATACCTTATGTATTACCCTTAAAATACATGTCTTGTCAGTTAGAAGTAGTTGAGACAGGATCCAGAAGTTGGGAAAGAATCTTCAGCTCTTTACCTCTTGTCAGAGAGAGGGATATTTTCTTTCCTTTCCCTTCATTCACACTTCTGTGCCATCAACCATGGGGTTTAGCAGCATAGCTACTCACCCAGAGGAAACACCCCATCCAACAATTGTAGAGTCATTTTAAGAGAGAGTTTGAGGCCTAGTTTAGGGAACAGAGACACACAGTTTAAATAGACACTGATACAAAGGGGCATTTAGTCACTTGAGGTAGGCTGCAAAACTTAAAGGAATATGAACCCTTGGCAGCAGAGAAGAGAGTTGCCTATGAGGTCAAGATGGAGCTAGCTGTGGCAACCAGTAGTCTCTCCTTAGAGACACAGACCCAGGGAGACCAGCTGAGTAACTTGATCAGCAGAGACATCATACCTGAAAGGGGAGCATTGTGAGGACTCTAAGAGAAGAGAAAGGACATTGAGGGCCTATAGTTCTGGAGCTGGGAATTCTTTGACACATGTGCCTACCTGCCATTGTACTCCACATTTGTGCCACTGTTCCCATATATGCTGTGTGTGTTTGTGGGAAAGTGTACCCTAAATTTATGGGGGGAATATTTTATATGTACAGTTCATAGTATGCATCTTAGTCACTGACATTGCTAAGAGCTTACTGTGTCTCCTGGCCAAATATAAAGGGGAAATGCACAAGTGGTGACTTATTAGCTGTAACATTAGTGGTCTAGACACATAGAATACCTTAGAACTTTATGAGGGTAGTAGCTACACACTTGGAACGCAACTCAGAAGTGTGAATGTATCCCAGAGGCAGTGCTAAACTTATTTGGGTTTTTTTTTTGTTTTTTTTTGTTTTTTTTTTGGCTTAGGCCTTGAACATATCTAGATGTTGATCCTGGCAGTGCACTCGGCTTCTTATGGGAAATGCTTGTAGATAATCGTCATACGTGTATTATATTTTTTCTTCCTTTGGCATTGGAAATCCCCTTAGGTTGGTGGGTACTGGGACAAGTCCTGCAGCACAGTGACCCAGCTAAAGGAAGGTCTCAACCGTATTCTTTGCCTGATTCCCTACAATGTGATCAGTCAGCCTGTGTGGGAATGCATCATGCCAGAGTGGCTAGAAGCCATCAGAACAGAAGTCCCAGATAACCAGCTAAAAGAATTCAGGGAAGTATTAAGGTAGGTAAAAGTGTCAAGAAATGTGTTAGCTAAATCTGGAACTTAATGGAGAAGTTTTCAGTACCAGAAATTAAATGTTAGTTAAGGAAACACATCTGGTGATTAGATCATTGTTCAGAAGAGACTTTGTTCGTGTTAAATGATGAATAAATCCTCCATTATATTCACTGTCTTTTAAACATAATTACAATTTTATATGATGGGATAAGAGAGATTTGAAAAAAGCTAAATGCTAGAAGGTAGCTTCAATCTTAATTTCTTAGATATTAAATCCTTTCTGTTAGCCTTTAATAAGAATAGGAACGAGCACTAATATATTATTAATACATTTGTTAATAATCCATTTCATATAATGAGTCATTCTAAATATATCATATGTAAATAGATTCATAAAATACCAGTAGCGGAAGGGAACTTAGAACATAGAATGTCAGAACATAAAATGTTACAACACACTATACAGAATGCCAATTCAATTTGATAAATATTTATTAAGCTCTTGTTATATGTAAGAACCATAAGATCTGTTGATAAAAAGGCAAAAATGAAATACTTCTTATCATCAAGGAGCTTATAGTCTATTTCAGGGATACAACATGTACATAAGTAAGTATAATGCAAGTTAATTTGAAGAAGGAGAGATCACCAGCAAGAGAGAAGTATGAGGGAAAGCTTCAGGGAGGATATGGCTCTTGAGTTGAGCCCTGAAAAATGAGAAGGATTTTGAAAGGTGGACATAATAAAGGAGTGAACTTGAGATAATGAGTGTGATTGCATGGAGTCAGGCAATGGAGTATAGAGATTGGGGAACAGTTTGAACATGAAAGGGAATAGTATGAAAATAAATCTGTAGAAATAGGTCAGAGCCATACTATAGAGGGCCTTAAACGTCAGATTTAGAAGTTTGTCATTTATCTTGAAATAGGGAGTGATGGAGGGCTTTTGAGCAGGGAAGAAACATAGTCAGATCTGTGCTTTATGAAGATTATCTTGGCATCTGTATGGAAGATATATTGGAAAAGGGGATACTGGAAAAAGGGAATCCAATTAGGTGTCTACTATAATAGTCCAGGTGAGAGATTATGAGAACTTGAATTTGGGTTAGAGCTAGAAGGAATCCTAGAGTTCATCTCATTCAGTCTCTTAATTTTACAAATGAGGAAACTGAGGCCCAGATAACTGAAGTGACATATCTAGTAAGTTCTGACATCAAAACTAGGTCTCAGATCTCTTAAGTCCTTGTACAAAAATAATAACTGACATTTATATAGTGTTTTAAAGTTTTCAAAGTGTTTTATATACATTATCTCATTTAAGTATCATGATAATCCCATGAGGTTGGTACCATGAGTATTATTATATTCTTCATACAAATGAGGAAACTGAGGCTTAGAGAGGTTGTGACTTGTTTCAGCTAAGTTTCAGGTTGGAATTTGAATCCAGGTGTTTTCAACTCTATATCCTCACATTATTCCATGTTGCCTTTATATAATTGTACACATTTTGTATGTGAGTGATGACATGGTTGAATCATATAGAATATAGATTGGTGGAAGGATACAGTCAGGGGCTGGGGAGGAACGTATATAGTTTGACCCCACAAAGTACAGGATAGTTGGAAATGCATCTGGAAATACATTCCTGATATTAATTGACTTCCATTGTTTTCTTTTGTAGCAAAATGTTTGACATTGAGCTTTGCCCTCTCCCTTTTTCAATGGAAGAGATGTTTGGATTTATCAGTTGCCGGTTCACAGGATACCCCGCTTCTGTGCAGGAGCAAGCTCTACTATGGCTTCATGTAAGTCAGTGATGCTGGTTGATCGTGGAGAAAGGAATTATAACCTGGGAAAGGGAGACCCTTTGTGGCTAAATGACCAATAATGTAAATATTGTCCAAATGGTGGTATTTCTGGGTCTTGCAAGACCATTTTCTTACTCTTCTCCCTGCATCACCTTTATCCACATATGCCCAATGGGAGAACTATTTACATCACGTTAGAAAAAGGATAAACTGAGACTCTTTCCAAAATTTGGGCTCAGGTGCTCAGAATTTAAATTTATTCAGCTCGTTCATTCACTCACTTAATATTAAAAATATTTATTAAGCACTTATTTTGTGCAGAACATTGTTAATACTAGAAGAGATACAAAGTTTAGATAAGATATAGTCTTTCTCTTGGAGTAGAGTACTTGCAGTAGTACTCTTGCTACCATTGGAGGGTAGGTGTAAGGGAATTCTCTCTTGACTTCTTTGGAGAGATGTACTGGTCAGTAGGAGTCTAATGACTGTGAGTCAAAGATAGGAGGCCAAATTGAAAGCAAAGAGGTTTATCAGCTTGCTAAGGAAGTCAATAAAAGGAAGAAGAAATTCTAAGGAAGGACTTAAAGCACTTGCTGATAGCAGATTCACCTTTCTAAGGAGTAGATTTGGTATTTATAACATTTCAGGCCCAATCAGCAGTATTCTTCAGTAAATTAGGCTAGATAAATAATGCATTTTGTGGGAGAAAAAGGGGTAGAGAAAGAAGGGGAACATTCAAGGGAGAAAAGGGGAGTAATTGGAATGTGACTGGTAGGATTTATTATTGGAATAAGATGACATTCGCTGTTCAAGGGCAAGAGACAAATGGGAAAGACTAAATACTTTTATAATTGTGAAAGAAGTTGTTTTAGACTAAACTTCAGGATCTCTTATCCAAGGACAGTAAGTAGTTGTTATACCAGTGGATAAGATCATCTACTTTACCTTATCCTTACATTGTTTGTTAATATTTTATTTCTCATTTAATAGGGGTTGGGTGCTTTCTAGCATTTGGACACTAGGTGGTTAGGGGATTAATCCATTATGATTTTGCAAAATTATTATGGTTTCTATTTTTCTTCTTCATAGGGGAAACACAAAGTATAGATAACAAATATTCACTGCCTTGGTTTGGGTCTAGTAGGGAAGAGAGTAACTTATAAACAGGTAACCACAGGACAAAGTAGAAGGTGATGAGTGCATAAGAAAAGGTAACAAGTGCTATTAGACAATTAATATGACAGATATCACTTTGATCTATGAGAAGACAAAGGAAGGATTTATGGAAGAGAGCTTCTGATTTAGGCCCTGAAGGACGGGTAGAAATTGGACAGGCAGAATTGAAGATGGTGGTGGTGGTAGAATGAAGAATGTACCAGGCAGAGAGAATCCATCTTATTGAGACTCATTTGTTTTTGTTTTTATCACAGATGTAACTTTGGTGAATTTGCTTCACATTTCAGGTTCAGGAAATTGATCTTTCCTAATTAATTTCTAGAAATAGTAGCTTAGTTACTGTTTGTAGTAAAAGGGAGTAAACTTCCATTATTCTCTGTCTTTATAGAATAAGAGAAATATAAATTTGTTTAGGGACAGGAAAGGAAACAAAACATTGGCAGCTGGGTGGCACAGTGGATAGAGCTCTGGACCTGGAGCCAAGAAGACGTGAATTCAATTATGACATCATACATTTAATAGCTATGTGACCTTGTGCAAGTCACTTAATCTTTTTCTGCTTCAGTTTCCTGATCTGCAAAATGGGAATAATAATAGCACCTTACTTTCCAGGGTTGTTTTGATGATAAAATGAGATAATATTTGTAAAGTTCTTTGCAAACCTTAAAGTGCTGTCTAACTGCTAGCTATTATTATTGCTATTAATCATTATTACTTTTGATAGATATAATCTGTAGATTGTAGTTTGTTTGAGGTGGAAGAGATCACAGAACGTGGAATGTTAGAACATAGACTGTAAGAGCTGGAAGGGAGATTAGAACATAAAATATTAAAATTAGAATGAACCTTAGCACATAGAGTGTTAGAGCTTTAATAGACTTAATGACATGGCATATTAGAACAGAGAATTTTTATTTATTTATTAATTTATCTATTTTCAGTTTTCAACATTCACTTCCACAAGATTTTGAATTCCAAATTTCCTCCCTATCTAGTCCCTCCCCCCACCCCAAAACGGCGTGCATTTTGACTACCCCTTCCCCTAATCTGCCCTCTCTTCTATCTCCCCCCACCCCTTCTCTTATCCCTTTCGCCTTCTATTTTCCTGTAGGGCAGGATAGATTTCTATACCCCATTGCCTAGACCAGAGAATTTTAAGAGTGAGGAGAAACCAAAGAGATCTTCTAATTCAATCTCTTGTTTTGAATGACTACTACTTCGTGCAATATCCTAATTAGGCAGTGTGGAGAATTTAAAGGGATTTAAAATAAATGACATAGTCCCTAACCTAATGGAGTTTACAATTTACAGACAAGGAAATGGAAGACCAGAAAGGTAGTGACTTACCCAAGGCTGTACAGATGACCATGACAGTACTAAAACATAGGCCTTCCAACTCCCAGTCTAGTGTCTTTCTTCACTATTTGTTGCTGATATCCAAGTGACTAAAGAGACAAGACTAAATGACCTCATGTTAAATAGTTAATTTTCCAAAAAATTGTTATATTTCTTTGTTTAGATTTTGAAAGTCTGTATTTTTTCTTCTTTTGATGTGTATATATGTTTGTCTTTCTTCAGGTATTATCAGAGTTAGACATCATGGTCCCACTTCAGCTACTAATAAGCATGTTTTCTGATGGAGTTAATTCCGTCAAAGAGCTGGCAAATCAAAGAAAATCAAGAGTCAGTGAGCTGGCAGGGAGTCTTGCAGCTCGAAGGGTAATTATCACCCCAATTCTTCTTGTTTATCTTGCTTGTTGAGATTCTGGAAAGCACTGCCAATTGTATCAGTACCTAAGACTGACATCAAAGGCTCAGATAGTTGTAAATGATGACTCATTTTTTTCCTATCTTCTTTTTATCATTGAAGATTCATACAAACTATGAGATGCTGGATCTAGAAAATGCCAGGTGGAATCTGTGATCAAATATAATTTTTATTATTTAAAATTATTTATATCTATCTATTTAACACACATTTATTAAGTACCTACAAGGTACTGCTCTAGGCTGTATAGGGAAGAAGACTGAAAAATTAGTAGGATGTGATCCCCGCCATTATGGAGTAGAGAATCTAACAAGGGGAATATTCAGTACTCCACAGGGTTGTGAGAAAATCATTTTGTAAATTGGCAAGTATTATAGAAATGGGAGCTAATGGATTTATAGTCTAGTAGAGAGATAAGATCAATCCACAAATAACTATAATATGTAGGAGAATGTAATGTAATAGCATAAGCAAGTTGCTTTAAGAGTTCAGATGAGAGAGAGAGAGACAGAGATAGAGAGAGAGAGACAGAGACAGAGAGAGAGAGAGAGAGAGAGTGAGAGAGAGAGAGAGAGAGAGATATTTCCTCTTCCTCAAGCCTAGAATGTGTTTTGGAGTGGGTGACTTCCCTTTCTTGCCCTTCTTGTTTGATGAAGAGAGCTGCCGTAATTTACTTCCATCTCTACCTTGCAAAACTTTTCCTCTCTTGCCAAACCTACTGCCTCCTTTTGCTCTTGTATTCCCAGACTCCCCTAGGGGATGTGACTAGTAGCTGGTAGTCTTTGTGTCTCTCACTTCAGTTAGAGACCACATCTTTAGTTTGCATGTAGTGTAAATCTTGATGAACTACTTTTTTTTTTAAAGAAGGTACAAGTTGCATTTTTTTATAAACAGTATTTTATTTTTTCCAATTATATGTAAAGATAATTTTCAATATTTATTTTTATAAGATTTTGAGTTCTAATTTTTCTCCCTCCCTCCCTTTCTTCCCCCCCCTTTCTTCCCCCCTCCCCAAGACAGCAAGCTATCTGATATGGATTATACATGTGCAATCATGTTAAATGTATTTCCACATTAGTCATGTTGTGAAAGAAGAAACAGAATGAAAGGAAAAAAAACAAGGAAAAAAACCCCCAGAGTGAAAATAGTGCTTCAATCTGCATTCAGACTCCATCAGTTTTTTCTCTGGATGTGCGTAGCATTTGATGAGCTACTTTTTTTATCAGCATAGTCCCCAGTTTTTTTTTTAAATAGGCCACCAACAATAAATTACCTGGATAATTCTATAATCATTTTAATTATTAATAATAACATAGTGATTTGCATAACTTATATTTATGCTCTGTCAAGTATTTCACGAATAATATCTTCTTTGAGCTCTCAACAGCCCTATGTGGGAGGCAGAGTAGGGCAGGAATTATCTCCATTTGGCAGATGAAGGAATTGAGGCCAAGAGAGATTGAATGAATTATCCAAGGTCACTTTTGATTTATTGACTTATTAATTTACTACTTAAATTACTTCTTAAATTTGCTATTTAAAAACTAACTTAAATTATTGACTCTATTTACTATTGTAAGAATTTGTGGTTTCATCATTGCAGGTACTCCTATATTGGTAAATATTGTAGAAAGTATGGAGTAGAAGATGGAGTACTACACTTGGAGACAGGAAGACCTTGGTTTGAATCTTGCCTTAGACAGTTACTAGCTGTGTAACCTTGAGAAAGCCATTTTACCTCTGTGGGCCTCAGTTTCCTCATTGGTAAAATGAGGGGTTTGGACTTAGTGTTCTCTAAGATCCTTTTTAGCTTTAAATATGTGATCCTAAGTATGTAAAATAATGTAGAAGGTATATTTTAGATGTTTCGATCCATACTTTAGATCAGGGGTGGGGAATCTGTGGCCTTGAGGTCACATGTGGCCCTCTAGGTCCTCAAGTGTGGCCCATTGATTGAATCCAAACTTCACAGAAAAAATCCCCTTAATAAAAGGATTTGTTCTGTAAAACTTGGACTTAGTCAAAAGGCTATACCCAAGGACCTAGAAGGCCATATATGGCCTCGAGGCCACAGGTTCCCCACCCCTGCTTTACATATTCTTTGTAAATTATTGTGGCCAAAATATTGTTGTCAGTCTTCTGAGGAAGAGCCTTTCAACCTTTAGCCAGGATAGTCCTAGGATGACAGACGTAACCTATTGCTAGGCCCATAGTTGAAAGTTTTCCAGCTTTATAGTGTATAGCTCTTATTTGAGTTCTACTCAGCTCTACTAGCTTTTGATAGAGCAAGGTCAATTCCATGCCATGGTTAATCATTGGAGGAGGATATATCAGGTTCATGAGAACAAAGATTTAGAGATGGGAGAGACTTTGAAGTTATTGAGTCCAGCCTCCTTATCTGAGGCCTAGAGATGGGAAATAATTTACTTAAAATCATGTAGGTAGCAAGTAGCAGAGTCAGGTTTAATATACTTTCTGTAGCAGATGCTTCCACTGCTATGAACTTTAATAAGAGGGGTAGTAATACCAAATAGATACAGATCTATATATGTACATGCATTTAATATTGATAGTCCTTGGGTTTTCATCTTTCTTTTATTTGTCATGGAATCTCCAATTCTTGTGCATGATGACTTTCAACATTACCTTGTAATATTTTGTTTTCAGAAGATTATTCTCTTATTTTAGAGAATGATGTAATAAAATTTAGGATAGTTAACTTAAAATGTTTGGTATGATCCAAATGTAAAAGTAAATTCAAATGTCTTTGTCCCTTAGTGTCTTAGTACTTTATACATGTAGTGCAAATCAGCTGTTCTAAAAAGAATTGATAGTTTTCTTTCATATTTTTGTATGATTCATTTAATTTTTTCAAAAAGTATGTATAGTTTAATGACTTTTTCCTACATACCTGATCCTAGGGGAAGATGTTTTTTTTAAAACTCACTCCCATCCTTTTTTCCCTCCCTTATCTTCCTTCCTTCCTTTTTTCTCACAGAGACTTTTTAATTCTTTTTTTTCAGTTCCAAATTCTCTCCCTCTACTTACTCCCTTCCCTACCTGTTGAAAAGGCAAGAAAAACAAAACCCATTACAAATATGTGAAGTCATGCAAATCAAATTTCTGTGACAGCCATGTTTTTAAAAAGGCAAGAAAAAAAAGAAAAGAAAATATATTTCAATTTGTATTCTTAAGTCCATCAGTTCTCATTCTGGATAGCATATTTCATTATGAGTCCTTTGTAATTGTGAAGCATTGTGTTGGTCAGAGTTACTAAGTCTTTCAAAGTTGATTATCTTTATAATATTGCTGTTTCTGTATAGATTATTCTCCTGCTTCTGCTCATTTCACTTAGTATCATTTCATACATATCCTCATGGGTTTTCCTGAAATCATCTCCTTCATAGTTTCTTATAGTTCCATAGTATTCCATCACATTCATATACCATAACTTGTTCAGCTATTCCCCATTTGATGACTATTCCCCAGTTTCCAATTTTTAGCATAGTAAAAATTGCTGCTATAAATAGTTTTGTACATGTGGACCCTTTTGCTCTTTCTTTAGGGTATAGAATTAGTAGTGTTATTGCTAGATCAAAAAGTATACACAGTTTGCTGGCTTTTGGGGCATAGTTCCAAATTGCTTTCCAGAATGGTTAGACTAGTTCACAGCTCCACTAACAGTACATTAGTGTGCTTCTTTCCCCATATTCCTTCCAGCTTTTGTCATTTTGCTTTTTTTGTCATCTTAGCCAAACTGTTTAATGTGAGTTGGTACGTCAGATTGTTTTAATTTGCATTTCTCTAATTATCAGTGATTTAGGTTATTTTATCATATGGCTATTGATAGTTTGAATTTTTTCCTCTGCAAATTGCCTTATTCATATCCTTTTATCAATTGGGAAATGGCTCTTCTTCTAGATTTGACTCAGTTTGCTATTATTTCAGAAATGAGACCTTTATTACAGAAACTTTCGGCAAAGATTTTTTTTCCCGGTTTCTGCCTTTTCTTCTAATTTTAGATACATTGGTTTTGTCTGTGCAAAAAATGTTTTTAATATTTGTATTCAAAATTATGCATTTTATTTCCCACTAACCTCTCAATTTCTTGTTTCATCATAAACTCTTCTCTGAACATAAATCTGACAAGTAATTTCTAAACCTGCTCTACTAATTTGCTTATGATATTACCCTTTATGTCTAAATCATGAATTAATTTTGAGTTTATTTTGGTATGTGGTGTGAGTTGTTAGCTTTCCCAGTTTTTCTAGCAGTTTTTGCCAAATAGTGAGTTTTTGCCTCAGTAACTGGGATCTTTGGGTTTATCAAGCACTAAGTTACTGGGCTCTTTTACTTCTTCATATTGAATCCTGTGTCCTGTGACAATTAGTCATAGCTGAAGGTTCTTGCTAGAGTCCTCTTTAATAGGCAGATTCTTCACCTGAAAGATAGTTATCTGCCTGAAAACCAGTGTGGCTTCAGAAAGGGCCATGGAACAGTCAATATGGTGTTTGCTGACTAACAATTCCAGGAGAAATTCCAGGAGCAGAACAGAGGTCTGCACGCAACATTCATCAATTTGACCAAGGCCTTTGATACTGTTAGTTGTGAAGGCTTATGTAAGATTACGGCAAAATTTGATTGCCTAGAAAAGTTTATCAGTATTATATGCCAGTTACATGATGACACGCTTACTTGGGTTCTGGATAATGGATAATGGATAATGCTCTCATGTTTTCCTAGTCACCAGTGGAGTAAATCAGGGCTGTGTGCTTGCTCTTACGCTTTTAGCATGATGTTTTCAGCAATGTTGTCAGATGCCTTCAATCAGGATGAAAATGGCATCAAAGTCAGCTTCCACACTAACAGTAAATTATTTAACTTGAAAAGGCTACAATGGGAGAGTTGGTACACGACTTTTTGTTTACAGATGATTGTGTACTCAACACAA